CTGTAATCCCAGCACTTTGGGAGGCTGAGGTGGGCAGATCACGAGGTCAGAAGATTGAGACCATCCTGGCTAACACAGTGAAACCCCATCTCTACTAAAAATATGAAAAATTAGCCAGGCATGGTGGCACGCACCTGTAGTCCCAGCTACTTGGGAGGCTGAGGCAAGAGAATCGCTTTAACCTGGGAGGCGGAGGTTGCAGTGAGCTAAGATCACGTCACTGCACTCCAGCCTGGGTAACAGAGCAAGACTCCATCCTCCCTCCCCCACAAAAAAGAACATATTTAGATGTAAAATAAGCATAATAAAAAATATTCTTTAGCAATAATTAGGGAAATACAAATTAAAACCACACTAAAACACCCACAACGTGCCTATTTGAATAGCTATAATTTTAAAGCCTGGCAATCTGAAGTGCTGGTGAGAATTCTGAGCAATTGGAATTCATATACATTGCTGGTAGGAATGCAAAATGGTACAGCCACTTTGGGAAACAGTTTGGCAGTTTCTTATAAAGTTAAACATATACCTACCATATGACCCAGCAATCTCATGCCTAGCTATATATCCAAAACAAAAGAAAAGATGTTCAAACTATAGGAGCGGATTCTCTCTACCCTTCAAATTCTTACAGACTCCTATAACAAAAGGTAGATTAACAAGAGGAAAACAAACAAATTTAACAACATGTATACCTTATTATACATGGGAGATACCCAGAGAAATAAGTAAATCCCAAAGGTGTGGCTTTGATTTCAGGTTTAAATACAATTGTCTACTGAAATAAAGAGGGAAGGATGGGAGGAAGGACAGACATAAGGAGATGCCCAGGAAAGTGGGATAACAAGGGTAAGATTTCTTACACAGATATAAGTCCGGTGCCTTGTCCTTTGATAAGAGTCTCTAGTGATATAATGTCCTTTTCTTCATAGACACCCTTACAAATGGAGATTTCCTTTATAGACATAAATGTCCTTTATAAAAGGGCAACTTCTACTCTGTTTTCAGATCTTCTTCTGTGTCTGCAGTTTCTCAAAATGATTAGCACAAAACAATCCATATGCCAAAGAAGCATATTTTGGGGTGGCATATTCTGGTCTCCTACAATACAGAAACCTATAGGTAAATATTTGTAGCTGATTTAAAAATTGGAAACAACCTAGATGTACCACAAACTGTGGTACATACATGTAATGGAATGCCACCAGCAGTAAACCTGAATGAACAATTGATTCACAAAACAACACAGATAAATCTTACCTGCATTTTGAGAGGCTAGACCCAGAATTATTTGATTTTATTCATATGGCACTCTGGGAAAAGCAAAACTATAGGGAGGAAAACAGATGAGTAGGTAGCGGATCAGGGGTTGGGGGGTGGGTTGTCTATGAAGGAGTAGCACAAGGAAACTTTGGGGTCATGGAATTATTATGTATAGAATTATAGTGGTCCATAGTACAATTCTGTGCATTTGCCAACACTGATAGAACTATACCACAAGAAGTGAATTTTATTGCATGTAAATTTTTTTTAAAACTCAACCAGGATAAAGAAAACGTGGCACATATACAACATGCAATACTATGCAGCCATAAAAAAGAATGAGATCACGTCCTTTGCAGGGACGTGGATGAAGCTGGAAGACATCATTCTCAGCAAACTAACACAGGAACAGAAAACCAAACCCTGCATGTTCTTACTTATAAGTGGAAGTTGAACACTGAGAACACATGGACACAGGGAGGGGAACATCACACACTGGGGCCTGTCGGGGGTCTGTCTCCCTCCCTTGTTGGGCAAGGGGAGGGAGGGCTTAAAACCTAGACGATGGGTTGCAGCAAACCACCATGGTACATGTATACCTATGTAAGAAACCTGCACTTTCTGCACATGTATCCCAGAACTTAAAGTAAAATTAAAACAACAACAACAAAACCTCAACCAGGATATGAGAGAAAAGAGGGAATGCAGATTGTGATAAATGCATTTTACTATGTTACAAATTAATCATATAACTTCCCTGAAAGGGATGGGGAAGAAGTAAGCTGACCTGAGTAAGGGTCAACTAAATCAGGGTTTCCAGAAAACCCTTCAGCTCCCCTAAGTAACTTTGGAAAACAGCACCGGACCTGCCCCAGTGAAACCTGGTGCCATAAGCCCCCATGTCCCAGTCTCCAGGCTGGAAACTGTGGACAAAACTTTTAAGATGCTCCAACACCAGCTCTATTCTGTGCCTTCAGATTTTGAGCCCGTTGTTTCTTCTGACACTTTAGCTCTCTAATAAGTTCAAAAAAAGTTCTGAATGTGAAGTTAACTCAGTGACTTTCACTGTAAGTGTAAGAATGATGTCCCTTCTATCTCTCTACAGAGTGGAAGTCCTTTCTTTCCATTTTTAATGGCTGAACGGTATTTCATTAAATGAATGTGTAATTTACTTTATTTAACCAATCCCAATCACTTACTATTGTGCCTGTAGGCAATTTTCCACTCTTTGCTATTATAAACAAAGTTAATTGACCCTTGTAAGCATCTTTGAGTTGCTATAAAGGAATACCTGAGGTTAGGTAATTTATAAAGAAAAAAGGTTTATTTGGCTCATGGTTCTGCTGGCTGTACAAGAATCATGGCGCCAGCATCTGATTCTGTTGAGGACTTCAGGTTGCTTCTACTCACCGTGGAACGCAAAGGGGAACTGCTGTGTGCAGAGATCCCAAGGCAAGAGAGCCAGCAAGAGACACAGGAGGAAGGGGCAAGGCTCTTCTGAACAACCAGCTCTTGTGAGAACTAATAGAGTGAGAATTCACTTATTACCATGAGGATGGCACCAAGCCATTCATGAGGGACCTGCCCCCTTGACCCAAACACCTCCCAGCAGGCCTCACCTCCAACACTGGGGCTCAAATTTCAACATGAGCTTTGGAGGGGTCAAATATTCAAACCATAGCAACGGGAGAAGACATTTCCTTATGAAGAAGCAATATACATTGAAATACAACCTATAGAATTGATATAGACATTATTCAATCTGCAGAAGCACATGTTGGGACTGAAAAAGGATCACACTAATGAATTCTGTCATAGATGTGTCTCTTGTTCTCATTTTAGAATAAATGATATCCATATCAGATTATCTGGGTGATTAGCACAATGGCTTTGATTTAAAAATATTAAGCCTACATATTGGCTGTTCCCTGATGCTGACTGCTATAGCCTATGTGCTCTACCTAACCCAGAAAGGGAACCTCTCCTTCACCCAAACAGGCAGCTGTATCAGTGTTTGGGTGAAAAGGAAGATGGATTTCAGCTGCCCTAAAAAACAAAGAAAAGTTGAAGATGGCTTCTTCCCCTTCTCCCCCTCCTCCTCCTCCTCCTTCTTCTTTCTCTTCTTCTTCCTCTACCTCCTCCTCCTCCTCTCCCCACCTCTGCTCCCCTCCTCCTCCCCTAGCTCCTCCTCTTCCTCCTCCTTCTGTGAAATAAGCCTGACTTACTGGTAGGAGAGTCTGTCTTGAATCAAAAATGGGTTGACCGGGCATGGTGGTTCACGCCTGTAATCCCAGCACTTTGGGAGGTCGAGGCGGGTGGATCACTTGAGGTCAGGAGTTTGAGACCAGCCTGGCCAACACGGTGAAACCCTGTGTCTACTAAAAATACAAAAATTAGCCGGGCGTGGTGGCAGGCACCTGTAATCCCAACTACTCTGGAGGCTGAGGTGGGAGAATGGCTTGAACCCGGGAGGGGGAGGTTGCAGTGAGCCAAGATCATACCACCACACTCCAGCCTGGGCGACAGAGCAAGACTCCATCCAAAAAAAAAAAAAAATGATTAACTGAATTACAACAGGAAACATCTCCAGTGACAGCCCAGCTTGCTCCAGGTCCCAGTGGGCGAAGAGAGCATCTCATCCCTACTTCCTTCAACTCTGGACTTAACAGGTAGCTACCCTAAGGTGCCCTGGCAAAGTGATCTGGACCTTGGGATTTCTCCTTTCAGGACTGCCTAAAGAAGAATGAATAGTTGCCAAAGGAAGAAGCAGTAATCAGGAACCCTGTCTGTAAATGTAGCTAATTTCTATTTAATTGGCGAGTAACTACATTTAAAATAAACACTGGTTGGTAATCAAAAACAGGAGGTTAAAGGATAGGCCATTGCAGAAGTCAGAGAGAATTACTAGGCCAAAACAAAGCTGGGGGAGAGTGGAGAGACTCGCTGCTTCAGAGAAAACGTGGTCAGGAGAGGAATTGTCGCTGCTGTGGGCCTCACAGATCTCATAAAGATTTATATCTGGTTTTATTTGTGTTTGTTAGTCATCAACGAAACTGATTTTAATCACCAACTGGTCTTTAATTATAAAGCATTCATTCCTTTATTACATAAAAATTAAAAACACATGTAAGAGGCAATTTTTAAACTATCAAACGGGATGAGTTTGGCACATCCTTGTGCAACCCCAGAGAAAGAGGCAGAGATTGGACCGGTTTCCAGAAAACCCTTCAGCTCCCCAGGCATTTGCTGAACCCCTGGCTGCTGGCAGTATGGGATTTCAGGCAACCGCGGAGACTGCTCCCCTCCAGGAGAAGAATGTGCAATCCGCAGAGCTGGGTTAAGGCACATCCGCTGCCAAACTGTCTCCAGCATGTGTAATCCCTGCTTTTCGGCACCACCCAAGATGTACTAATGCGTCTTGTAAAGACTCACTCCCGTGGCCTGTGGGGTTCGGCATTGAAAGAGAGGGTGGGAGAGGAAAGGAAAGAGAAGGGGAAAGGGTAAGAATGGCTGAGTGAGATCCCTAGGCTGTGAGCAAGTTCTTCAAATGGAGTTTTCCTTTGAGGCAGACATTTTCCAGTTAAACTTTAAACTCAAACGCTTGTCCTATTTATCTCCAAAATGCAGGCTATGTGTCTCCCTCCTAATTAGCATGAAATTATTTCTTCTTTTTCCTTCATTAGAAATTAGGATTGATTTTTTTAAAGATAAAATTTGTATTCCTGCTTAATTTTTAGACTCATTTGGAAGCAGTGCATTTTTATCAGAGGGACTGAAAAGCCTTTCGAGAATCAGTCAAGAAAAAGGAACGTGCATGAGCGTCACGGTGAGTAGCACTTCTCATCAAACTAGCTGCCCAGGGGTGTTAAAGTGCTTTCTAAAAAGGGAACTAACAGGGCTGCTCACCATTTACTGTTTTCTAAGAGCCTTAGCTAAATTAATCATAGCACACACCAGCCCTGTAAGGTAAAATGATTCCTGGTGTTTTGGAAGCAATCAGCGATCCACAAAAAGGGAGGTAATGTCCCCCAGAACCAAGATTAAAACTCCGACGTTGAGGGAATCTCCATTCCCTTCCTGTCATCAAAGGCCAGCTTGTTTGTGTCCAAGCAGGGTCTTGGGTGAGCCAAGCTCTGTTAAAGTGGCCACAGGAATGAGAGGCCACCACACAAGTGAGGATACTGGAGACAGTCCGTCTTCTGGGGCTGTGTGAATGCAAGTTTAGTGGTGGGGGCTGTCACATTATAAGTGGACAGGTGTGAGTCCCAGGCCTCCTGCTGGGAGACTCAAACCCAGCTGAGGCTTGCCCAGGAGGGGCTGGCTGCATCCTGGGCCACCCACACACTGGCAGGCCTGTGCACATGGAGGCCAGTTCCCTTCCTGCATTAGCCATGGCATGGATTCCTAGTCACATCTGTACAGCCAGAGCAAAAGCCTGTAATTTCCATAGAATCCAGTTCCTTGAGTCAGAACTCCAGATAAGTGTTTGTTTTATTTTTCTTTACAGGTCACATCATGTGATTGTGGGGAAAGCCTGGCCTATCATGGAGGGAAGAGACTGGGTGAATTATTTGAAAAGTAAGCCTGTGAATTGCTGTGGAGGAACAACAGCCTGCCGCTTATCTGGAGCCTTTCCAAGGAAAAGCAAAGGGGACCCCAGAAGGCTTCCTGGGAGACAGTTTAATTCTGAAAACAAAGCAGTACTTCACCTCTTGTGTGTTGGGTAGAGCTGTAAAACAGAACACAGTCAAAATAGTCATTAGGGCCACATCAATGTCTGCCCAAAGTCAGGCGGGCATTCCCAGGAAGCTGGGGGGCTGTGGCAGTTGCACACGTCAACCTCCTTTCTCCATTGTCACACAGCAGAAGAGCGTGTTCCATTCCACTGAAGTTGGGGTGGGGGGGTTGAATAATTGATTGACTGAAAACTGGGGGCCTGAGTTAGATGGTAAACAAGTTTAGAGTGCTGCTTTTTGTTTCTTTTTAAAGTTCTGTTTGTTTTATATATTGACGTGCTTAAAATATATTTTAAAAATTCAAAACACCCCAGAAATTCAGCAACTTGAGGAGACAACAGTGACGAGCATTTTATGGCAACATTTGGACACTTGAAAGATTATTTCAGGAACCTTAATGCTGATAAATGAGAGAAGGGACAACTTCTAACTATAACATGTCGGCACCTGAGTACAGAGATCAAAACAAGAGCGAGCATTTCAAATTCATATTGTGAAGCACCTACAAAAAGATTATTCTGTCAGCCTTCACAATGTGGACAGTTCATCTTTTCATCTTATCAAATAAAAATATACCCAAATTCTTGAACAGGCATTCAGTTAGGAAAAGGGGGGGTGGTGATGAAATGTGTTCTCATTCAGTAAACACTTTGCAGATATTTCTAGTCAAAGATCCCTGTGGTCTAGGCTAGTGAGAGAAAAACGTGCCCTCTGCCCAGTGACAGCGGCTTCACGGGGATCAGCTTTCACCAATGCAGGCAGGGGAACAAAGGGCAGCTTCATCTGCCTGCATCCCACAGGCCCTTGTGCAGAGGAGTTCCATTTCAGTGCCCATCACATGACCTCTCAGGCCAAAACCCTTTTCAATAATTCTGATTTTGAATATCAAATGGAAATGAAAAGTACATTTAGGAAGGAAGGGCTCTATCCTTATTGAAGAACACGCTCTATGCAAACAGGTTGGGCAGGCACTAGTTCTTGTAGAGCTGTGGTTCTCAGCTTTGGCAACACGCTGGATCACCTCCTCTAAAAGGTACCGATGCCTGCTTTCCTCCCTCCGCTGCCCCTAAAGAAAGTAGAATTTAATTGCTCTAGGGTGTGGTCTGGGCATCAGGATTTTTTTTTTTTTTTTTTTAAGACAGTCTCACTGTGTCGCCTAGGCTAGAGTGCAGTGTGCAATCTTGGCTCACTGCAGGCTCTATCTCCCAGGTTCAAGAGATCCTTCTGCCTCAGCCCCCCTAAGTAGTTAGGATTACAGGCACACACCACCACACCAGGCTAATTTTTGTATTTTTTTGTAGAGATGGGGTTTCACCGTGTTGCCTAGGCTGGTCTTGAACTCCTGAGCTCAAGCAGTCCACCCGCCACAGCCTCCCAAAGTGCTGGGATTACAGGCATAAGCCACAGTCCCTGGCCAGCATCAGGATTTTTAAAAGCTCCCCAAGTGTAGTCAAGGTTGAGAACAGTTGCTATAGAGTGATTTAATACAGCATTCAAGGCCTCTCACAATCTAGCCTCAGCCTAATTTTTCCTTCCCCCACCCCATCTCAGCCTGTACATAAGCCACAGAGACATTCTCACTGGTCTCTGAATGTACTTGGCTCATTCATATTTCCAGGCTGTCTTGCACATACATTGTCTGACTCTGGGCACCTAAGGAAAGCTCAGCTCCAGTGTCCTCTGCTCTTCTGTGAAACCTCTCCCGTCAAGCCCACCTTCACTACTAGGTCACTCCTTGCTCCTTGATCAGATGGAAGAATGCTTTGTGCATGTCTCTGCTGGAGCCCTTCTCACTTGACATTAAAGATACCTGTATCCAGGTCAGCCCACTCCTCTTCCCCAATAGTATGTGGATGCTTTGTAGTTTCAGCACAGGGCTTGGTTTCTATGAATACTTACTGAGTGAATGAATGAATGAATGAATGAATGAATACCAATCTTGTACATTGTTGATGTTCACCACATTGAACCCAGTTCTCAAACCAGGATCACTTGGGAGATTCTGAGTCAGTAATTTGAAGGTCTGTATCATTCTTACTCAAAGTGTAGTCCATAAGCCAGCAGTTGTTATATTATCTGGAAGCTTGTTGCAAATGCAGAATATGTATTTCAACAAGATCCTCAGGCAATTCATATGCACATTACACTTTGAGCTATATTTTTAACAAGCTCCCAGGTGATTCCTTTGTAGCCTGGCTGCCGACTCGCATTTGGTAACCACTGTTCTAGACCTTCATTTACTGAATGGAGTGGTCCCTGTGTGATTGCCTGCAGGTTTCTTCTAGTCTCCCATTTTTCTTCCTAGTTAACAAAGCCCAAATTTTATTTTGAAGGGTGATCAGCCCTTCACCCACCAGGCCTTTGCTCAGGGAAGCTTGATCCCACCTTTAGACCCCATATTGGGACTGAGTAGTCCAAAGGCATATCCCATTCCCCTGGTCAGGGATTAATTTAGGGGTAGACATGTGACCAAATTCAGGTCAATAAAATGTGAGTCTGCAGAGGCAATCTAGAAAAAGTGTCCTCTTCCTTAAGAGAAAGCCACAGAAGGGGGAAAAAAAATGTCTCAGGACATTGTCCTGCCTAAACATGATGCCTTGGACATTCTGCTTCTGTCTTGCTACCTGCAACACAAGGAAAGCCAACACTGAGGGGTCACAGCAGAGGGACGGAAAGCACCTGGATCTTATGACATTGTTGAGCTCTTTTGTCTCTTGACTTCTAGTTATGAGATGTAACTATTTTACTGTTAAAGTCATTTCTGTTCCTTGCAACCAAAAGCATTCATTGTTATACTGAATATAGTACCATATTTATTCAATCAATAAATGCCTGGCAAATACCCACGTGTGAGTAATTGTAGTTTGTCTCCCAGCTATTCTTTCAAGTAAAAGTGATGTTCCATGACAAAACTGGCTAGTTTAGCTTGTAACACAAACAACTGCACAAGTGCTTTTTCCTTGAGACAAATATTGTACTTTCATATGCGACAGATGTATGTGCTTTATGCATGTTCCCATTTCATAACACAGAGTATTAGAAACATGTATGCTTCAGGGTTGAGATCTCATAAAATGAGTAGTTTTCACAGCTTCATTGAGGACACTCTTAAATGAAACTGGCAGGGTTTTTTTCTTGAGTACTATGACATGGGTGGCAGTAAAGAATACAATAGCTATTAATATAGTTTGGTGCTACTGCCTTGAAATATGCTAAGGCATCAGCAGTTTTCATCATCGTTGCTTTGATAGTATCAGTGCAGGTGTCAATACAGTGAAAAAGGTAAATGGCATCTTGGTGTGATTATGGAAGTAGATTGATCTAATGAACCACCTGAAGTAGCCTTGGCCTTCCCAGGGATCTTAGAGAACTGCTATAGTGGTGATTACTTGGGCAATAAAGTCTCTTAGGAGAAGTTATGGATACAAAATGGTTATTGTTGAGGCCTGGAAGATACTGAATTATGTGCCATATCATGGTTCTGACTCCTTTATTTGGGTCAATGTCACTATTGCCTCAGTGATTGCCAGCACATGAGGCTGGTAACAGAGGAGTCCTAGGAGTATCCAGGTGCTGAGGTGCTTGTGAGGCCTTAGGATGGAGGGCACAGGAAACGGGCTCACCCAGTGCTACCAGTTACAGACTCATTCACAAGACTGTGAATCCACAACTAAGTTCTTTATTTCCCTCTTCAGCCTGTCAGCCAATTTATCTTTTACTCAGCTTAGAAACGAACTATTTAATGTAGTGTGATTTCTGTTTATAATTCTTAAAATACTCTTATTAGTGAAGTCTTCTAAGTTCAGCCTTTTCTTGGGCTAACATTTCTCTGATGCTGAATAACTATTAAATAATGAATGTGTTGTTTCACTCTGAGGGGCATCAAGATTCTCTCAAGTAGCACCTCCCCCCATTGCTTGCCAGCAATAGGCATTTTGGCAACACCACAAAGCACCAACTTTCGAGGTCTCACTGAGCCAGTCCTTGTTTCCAGGAAAGAAAACCCATGTTCTTGAGCCAGAACAAATGCTCCAAAGGCTGAGATTTTCTTTTCTCTTGCTAGAGAGGGAAGAATGACAATGGTTTGCTTGGATTCCTATAGTGGGAAAGCCATCTAGAAATTCCAGCCAGGCAGATCTCTGTCGCATGGAGATACTGTCCCTTGACTCATGAATGCACTGTGGAATTTGCCCTGGTGCCATCTGAAGGGTTAAAAAAAAGGATCCTATTCCTTACTAGCAGTGATGCTGAGGGCCTTACTAGTAGTGATTCACTTACTAGCAGTGAATCAAATTAGGGAAAAGGCCAGTCATGCTGCTTGCCTTCTATGTTTACTGAGATAATTTCTTAAAGCACAGAAGCAAGACAGACAATCCAAAAGATCGACATGAACTTGTTCTGCAGAGTATAGTTTCTGTCTTACTGCATTGCTATGAAAAAAAAAAAAAAAGAGATCTGAATGTGGCAAGGAAGTAAGTTCCCTAGATCATCAGAGAAATGACTGAGTTTTAGCAAGTTTTTCCTAATTTTTGACCTAAAATATTCTTTCCTTCAGGGCCTCCCTGGAGTTTTTGTTTTGTTTTATTACTGTTTTTTTAACACAAAAAAACACCTGCATCACACATTCTTACCCTCACTTTTGTGCTCTGTGTTGGGAACACAGGAGTTGTAATGATGTCCTTGGCTCTGGGCCTCTAAATCTTCACAGTGAATTCATCAAACTCTACACCTCAGGACGAGTCCAAAGCTTGGAAGGTAAAGAGGAGGAAGCAGGGGTTATAAACATACACCAGGCATTTTTTTTCTGTATCTGGGTCATTTTACCTTTCTCTGTGTAAAATGCCTGGCCTTGGTGTTTTTGAGTGTGCATGTAAACTCAGACTTGGCCGTGGGGAACATGGGCTCAAACCTCTACAATATTCCTGGTGATTGGCCTTGTATATCCCCACCCTTGCTACTCCTTTTACCCTGACATTGAACATTTGCTCAGTACTTTAGCTCTTATTATTATGTTGGTAGAACACCTTTCTCCCCTTAAGCATAGTTCTAGTACATTATTTCTGTGTCTTATTAGAAAAAAGGGATGGAGCAATAAGTTGGGAGATTTTGCATCCTAGTTCTGCCATTAAATGGCCATAGATACTGGAAAAGTCATGTTCCTGTTCTGGGCTTCCTGTGTAAAATGGGGATTGGAGAGAGGGCTGAATTTCCAGTGGTCCATAGACCTGGTGATGTGGTTTAGATATTTCTCCCCTCCAAATCTCTTGTTGCAATGTGATCCCCAGTGCTGAAGGTGGGGCCTAGTGGGAGGTGTTTGGATCACGGGGGCAAATTCCACATGAATGGCTTGGTGTCATGCCAACAGCAATGAGTGAGTTTCTTGATCTATGTTCTATTAGTTCACGTGAGAGCTGGTTAAAAAGAGCCCAGCCCCTCCCCCAACCCTCCCTTGCTTTCCTCTCTCACACGTGATACACTGGTTCCCCTTTTGCCTTCTGCTATGAATATAAGCTTCCTGAGGCCTTCACCAGAAGCAAATGCTGGCACTATGCTCCTCAAGTAGCACATCCTAGTGGCCACATGAAGAGGCTTCTGGTGAAAGGGAAGGAGAGAGTGCTGCCAGTTTCTAGGGAAGTGGACAGGCGTACGAGTGCTGCCCAGAGCTGCTGCACACAGGGCTGCTGAGGGCCAACTTAGGTTCCTACTCCTGTGACCAAGAATGACAAACTCCCGCCTACATTGCTGGCCTACATGTTTGAGGCCTTCAAGCACTCAGGGAGTACTAACGTTTACTTTCTGTGTGATGTGTGATGTTAGTGCTGCCTGTGACCAAAGGATGAAAGAAGAAAATACTTCTAAAAAGAAACAATGAGAGAAGCCAGTTGGCTATGTATCTGTAGAAAAAGAGGGGAATCTTGGTGATTCTAAGGGAAACAAAGATAACAAACTAGGAAAATAATTCTAGAACACACAGACCAAGTAGTAATATATATGAAACACAGCATGAAAGAAGATCTCTTCATATAAAAGCTAAACATTGAGAAGAGGATTTTATGCGGTAACTTAGAACTACTACCCCTTTCCATGTTTTTTCCAAGAGGCTAGTAAGGACTCATTTAAAACAAGCATTAGAAATAAGACTTGCCAATAAGATAATTGAAACAATATATAGAAATTAAGACAAAATTCTGGGCACATTTTACCTACATATTTTGTTAAGCCACTATAAAAAAAAAGTGACACTTTCGGTTAATATGCTTATCATTCTAAACCTACCATCAGATAACACAAAATTATAATATTGGTAAAGGAGTTGGCGTCAAGAACTAAAGGGAAACAGCCTATCAGAAAGTCAACATTGCAGAACTGCTTAAATATATGAGGCAGCGTGATGACTTAAAATCTTAGGTCAATTCATCTATAACAACCTTGGAGAAATGTTCCTAAATTTTTGTGCCTCAATGTTCTCATAAATACAATGGAACAATACTGCTTCATGACTCTGTTATGAGAAAATGAATAGTCTAAATTGCCACCACAATTCTAATTAAAATGTTACCTTGAGTACAGTGAGCAAAACCTCGTCTTTAAGAACCAGTAGAAGCTAGGTGTGGTGGCACACATCTGTGGTCCCAGCGACTTGGGAGGCTGAGGTGGGAGGATTGCTTGAGCCCAGGAATTTGAGGCTGCAGTGAGCTATAATCGCGCCACTGCACTCCAGCCTGGGCACAGAGTGAGTCTCTGTCAATAAATAAATAAATAGGCTGCACAGTGGCTCATGCCTGTAATTCCAGCACTTTGGGAGGCCAAGGTGGGTGGATCACAAGGTCAGGAGATGGAGACCATCCTGGCTAACACAGTGAAACCCCGTCTCTACCAAAAATACAAAAAAATTAGCCGGGCGTGGTGGTGGGCACCTGTAGTCCCAGCTACTCAGGAGGCTGAGGCAGAAGAATGGCGTGAGCCCTGGAGGCGGAGCTTGCAGTGAGCCAAGATCGCGCCACTGCACTCCAGCCTGGGCGACAGAGCAAGGCTCCGTCTCAATAAATAAATAAATAAATAAATAAGAAAAGGGGGGAAAAAAGAACCAATAGTTTTTTTGGTTTTTTTTTTAGAAAAAAAAGAAAGTCTTCTAAAAGTTGGTCAAACCACAAGGAAAAAGCAATTCAGTTGAGGGAGTGGAGGAAAGGCTGACCCAGCTTTCAGCTTCTATATCTTCCTTTTAATAAAGAGACAAGGCAATCATATTATATAATTTTTATTATGCACTCATTTTGGATGTTTTCCTTACGAATTATAAGTAAGTTTCAGAATTCAGTGAGTTTAAAGAAACCCCATTTCCTTCACAGGCTGTGTTGTGTGTGGTCATCTTTCACCTGTCATAGGAGTGTTTGGCCCAGTTAAAGGCTGCAGGTGTGTGAGAACAGATGGTATTGAGAATGGGGACATATTCAGGCTACAAAAAGACTGCCAAAAGCCGATTTGAGGTTAATGTTTTAAGAGCAATGGTGCTTTTTTCTTTCTCTTTCTCCTCTGTACACGGGGAGCAGGTACTCTATCAGAACCATGTCCTGGAGATTTAATTTGTGTTTTCTTTTTTTTCTTTTCTGTTCTTTAGTGGGAGAAGTACAAGATACTTCTACCACCTTAGAATCAATGCAGCAAGCTTCCCTGAGAATAGTAGGTATGCAGTGAGCTGTCCCTACTATCCTGGGTCTAAAAAGGAAAGGAAGGAGAGAGAGAGAGAGAAAGAAAAAAGGAAAGACAGAGGAGCTGTTTTCCTCTTGGGTAGATGGGAACAGGGTTTGCATATCTGGGACAGGATAGTGGTTTAGGTCAAGGGGAGGCA